TCGTGTAACCCGTTAAAAAACCATTGCCACAAGTTTTGACACTTCATCGATTTGTGCACTCTGTCACCACTGACAGGTTTGGCAGAACTGCGATGCCAATCCGAAGTGGCAAAAGCAAATGATTAAAGAATTTGGCAAGAGTATGCCCAGGCCATTAGAACCGATGATTAGTGGTGTAAACCAAATATGGCAATTCGTGGTAAGTTCGGTGAAGTCGGTGTGCTCGTGGGTTTGCAAGGAATGGGCACAGACCTACGGAGTCGTCGTCATTACTTCCGTCATTGTCGCTGTTTGCAGACAACTACTTTAACTGGTTTGCTGCTTGCCATGACGTGTACATTACGTTGCTCTGAGTACGTCACAACACGGACGAAGACAGCACTATTAATGCGGATGTTGTCAACCTTGACGTTATTGACGAAGCTCTTGATGCTGTCATTGATGAATAGGAAGCAGTCACAAAAGCATGAAAGAACCGCCTCACTCCAGCCTAGTTTTGATTTCCTCATTGGCATGTCATCGGGGAATGGTAAAGAGCGGATTTGAGATGTTGTCTCCTAATTCAGGGGCGGTGGAGAGTAGGAGTGACTGGGTTTCGTAACTCCCCGTGCCAGGTGACTTAAAAAGCGACTATTGGAAGGACCAAATCCTCAAAGATGAGAAAAATGGTTCATCCTTGTCATACTATGACGGTAAAGCCAAGGCAACACTATCTTACGAGAGGCACGCTGTGTGAAAGAGTCAGATTCCACGGGGACGTAGAAAGAAAAATCATCACTCGTGGATGGAGTGATCAAGAAAGTCCTTGAAGTTGCAAGCCTTTATTTATTGCTCTAGGTGAAGATCGTATAGAGACGAGAGTACATCCATCGGGGATATGCGCAAATATTATCAGGACAGAGAGGACATCGACATGGCAAGTAAGGTAGCTGAGCTCATCATCCGTCGCAGAACACTGAGCGTGAGTAAAAAGCAGCTAGTCTCAAGAGTCCCACAAAAAATTTTGTATCCTTATTTGAAAAAATAAAAGCGTTGCGATGCGATGAACACCACGCGTGACGCCGCAAGATACGAGGGTGCGTCCTGGTATCCCGGAACAAAATGATTATGAAATTAATATTGAGACGTCATTGACGCATATCTTCCATTTGAAACACAAGTGGGCGAATGATAATGATAAAAACCAATTTCCACACTCACATCAACTTTTTCGTCATAAAAGCTAATGGTTTAGTCAAGATTGTGCGTACTTGAATTACGCTAAATAAAGCCACGATATCGGCGAAAACGGCAAATTTTAGGAAAGCTGTCGTCGTCCAGAACCCCTTAACCGGCTGCATTTTTGCAGTACCATTGACTTAATTGATGGTTACTATCAGCTGCAGATGACAGGCAGCAATACCTCTCTCACTGCGGTGAATGCTTCAATCGAGATGTGCTGAGTATGCCATAGGGACTATTCGTTGTACAAGTGACGTTCAATTATCTTTTGACAGAGCGGCTTAGGCTACAACATCCCTAAGCATAAACCATAATCCAGCCGCAAGCGATTCGTAGCGTACAGGGTTAATGCAGTCGGATGTGAAGAGCCACTTTCAGCGGTTGATAGCAGTGCTCGAGTGTAGGCGCTAAAACAAGCGATTTACAAAAAATGGATAAGTGTGTATTTGATGCCGTCGAGTTTTTACTAATTTTATCTCATTGGAAAGCAGAGAGTACCAGCAGGTTCTGCAAAGGTAACGGTCATTGTAGATTGACTAGTGCCTCCGCTCTAAGGAGGTTATAGGGAGTAGCTTGACCTGGACTGCTCTAGTTCAAAGCACTATGATATGGCACAACCTCTCTACAATCCCCTTACGAAGAATGTTAAATGATGTTGAATGCGACAGAAGAAACGAATGTTAAGGCTATGTCAGAATGATTGATTCTATTATCACACTTCTCAATCCAGATCAGTCATTCTGCAGTGGGGCTGCCGTGGCTCTCTGCTCGAGGAAGCCAAGCTAAGCCACCGACCTAACGTTCTATACCAGAATCAGCACGAGTGTGGCGGTTCGCAATTCGCTACCCCAAAAAGTACTCAGAATCTTATTCAAGGCAAAAACACACTTCTGTTCAAAATTGAAACTGTATTTATTTGATATATTTGCAACCGAGCCGCCTATACCTAAAAATTTAGGTTTCCTAATTAAATGGTAAAAACAAATTAATATGCAAAATTACTGGCAATCCCGCCACGTAGTGGCTTCTTGTAACAGTGTAGCCACAACATTGTGTGATCACACTGACTTGTGTAATCCACACAGCCGTTACAATCTGCTGCGCTAAAAACCAAGCAGCAGTCAAGGAGCATGAATGCGTGGTTGTGTTTAATTCTCGCGAGCGAAAAGGTGCCAAACGTTTAACACTGTTTATGGCAAAAATTACTTGCAACGAAGTATCCCTCTACAACTTCAGGGTTTACCAGTGTGATCACAAAGATTTATGTGTCGTTGCGACGTGAACAGTGACGTCACCATCACCTTTCCTGCAAAGATGGTGATCCTTCTTTGCTTGATAAAGGGTGACGGTCGCTTCAATATTGTTGCAGCTCCGCTTTCGTATTGCCCGTGTCACCCGGACTAGATATGTCGCATCAAATCACGCCGGTGACTTTGTAAATGGATAAGGCAATCCGTACGGCTTACGGTGCAGGCGCTGCAACATGTGTTGCGTTGCCAAAAAATCCTAAAAAACACGCTGAAACTTAGATATTCTATATTTCTAAGCGCGCGGCTGCATGCCTGCACCGCTATGCCTCTAAGCTTGTCTATCACAGCGCTGACCCGCATGACTCTTAGCGTGTAGTGCTGCCTGATGATGAGGATCTCAAGTACAGTTTTTTGTCCGAGGCACATGTTACCCACTTTGGTGCCCATATAAGAAATAAAAAGACACTGGTGAGCAATAAGTATTGGTGGCGCAGGATATTTTGGTAGCAAAACATATGCACACACGTACGATACGTACCCACGGATCAAACTCTCGCTGCATGCGGCGGATTTTTTGGCCAACCTGCAGGTCCCGGCAGAGTGTTGACAGCCAATGAGCTCAGAGAATTTTTGATCGACTAAAAAACACATCTAGTATTCCCAACATCGTGGACTTTTTGGGTCGTCTGAGAAATATTCTTATCTCAGCGACATTGAGACTAGTGAGGCAATAAACAAGCCATTCGCTGTCAAATGGTCTCTCGGACATGTCTTGCCGGTATCCAGTGTACCATATAATGATCCGCTCTTAACAGCGAAGGTTTGATAAGCATTCTTTTTGGTAGTTTTATGTCGACCGCTGAACACCCCATATATGCATAGACGGAACGCGTGTATTGCGCTGTCAAGGTTATCTTTCGAGTTAATTACGCGGAGAGTACGAGGTGCAGAATCGAATGCTCCCACTCATTGAGTTCGCGCTGAAGTTCTATTTTCTCAAATATGATTACCAGCCCAGGGTGTCTTTGATACCGCCACAGAGTGGCTTCGGTCTTAGTTGGAGAGGCTCCGTCAATCAAATTTGACTTGCCGATGTTAGCCCAACTACAATCGTAGAAACACAGTAATTACGCCTCGATAAGACTGAGCGTCGTGTGCAGGGAATGCGACGCTATGGTCGAAAGCAAGGATACGCAAAATTTTAGCAAGCCAATGTCAAAAGCTTGCAAATACACGCGAATAAGTTGTGGCGTAAGAGAATTCATTGAATAAAAATAACCTGCCGATATATACAACGTCTACAGTCTACACGGCCAAGTTGTGACTGCGTTACACTGGCCTGTGATCAGTCGTAGAGGAGTAATGTATTATCTTATTCTTAACATACATATCCTGAGTTCTCCTTGTCTTGCCATCATACCACGATTCTGCTCTTACGAGCCAGTCTAATGCGAAGAGCTCTGTTGTAGGCGGCACCATCCCCATCATGTCCAGACGAAGAGCTACCTATTGCTCCAAAGAAGCGACGCAGTACAAAATCGTTGGTACTTTCGCATACACCGTTTGAGTGGGTCGGCGGGTATACCAAGACTGCCACCAGTATCTGGTGAAATTGAGAAGATACCCTTATTCAGGAACTTGTGGGGGTTGAGGCTTCACTTCAGCAAGAGTCTCTGCCGCTTATATTAGGTGCGCTCTTGACCATAAGCTCTCGAAGAAGAGGCGGGTCGCTGTTGCAGCAAGATTTCTATATGAGGGTGGCGAACAATCTTGCGGTTGCTGTTACGGCTGTCTCACGAAGCCGATTGGGCCGGTAAACAACGGTTTTTTGAGGAGATGCTAGCATCCCAAAGTCCACGCCGAGATTTGCAGCGTCAAGCATGAGACTATGCTCAAGAAAGCCGTTCGATTCAGTAGAGCTGGCTAGTGGACTTTAAGAAGTCAAGAAGTGTGAGACGGCTTGTTATGCAATGCTCACCCAGTGCGTTAGCTTAGTTTGATACTCGTCGGCATTTTTGCCATCTGCGAGTTCCCAAGGTTCTAAATTTCACGGAGGGTGCGGTTTTTTTCTGAATCGCCGCTGCTTTTAGCGCAGGTATTTCTTTCTAGAAAGCGATGACCTGAGGGCTGTAAAACTGCTCGTAGAAAGACTTTTTGTGCTCGTTTCGCTATAGGGTGAACGAGGAAGGCTCGTAAGCTTTGGCGTGTAAGACGTCCGCATTAGCGCATGAGTGGATCCAGATTGTTTGAAACCGTAACTACGGCGTAATAATTTGATCGAGGTTTAGTTATTTGTGGGAGCGGACTCATTTAGACGGAAGTCTCGCAACGCTCGACTGGACATGGAGTTTGAGACTCGTGCAGCAAGGAGGATGGGGGCAGTGAGCGCTTCCTGTTTGGAAGTTGGCTAAGCCGTGTGTCTTTGTAGGTTTTTGGCCACAACTCCAAGAATCAATCCGACCGCTTTAATGGGAGCTCACCTTAGCATTCTCACCGAGAACTTGATCAATTGCGTTGACCCCGAGACTCGCGACTTTTTCGGGGCTTGTTCAGCTAAATGACAAAATTTACGGAAGAAGACCCCCGGTGCAAGTATGGTTTGACGCGCAGGTAATAAAATGTAAACGGGATGTGAAGCTCCAGGTATGGTGGTTTCGAGCAGGTGTGTTTTTTCGTGCACTGACTTTAAAATTCGGTGTGAAATCTAGTGTAGTCACGTCCCAGTAAGGACTGTAACTTTGCGTACTCATTCCTTAAATTGCACAAAAATTGATGTATCTGTTCTTTTGAATATGATGGACATGCCGGTTATAGCTTAGAAAATTATCTTTTCATTTGCGAAAAAAATTGGACGTATGAGCATAAATTCTATATATCTATGCTCTTGAATAATTAGACACCAATTGCAGTAGAAATTCTCACTTCCCACCAATATATTTTTTGCATATTGATTTTGTATTAGCTAGGCTTAATTCATATATGTCATCCGAAGAAGTGGTCTCGGTCCTGAGTGGAGCGTTCGAGTCCATCCACATGTGTGCGTTTATAACCGCGGATATGAAGCAACTGCTTCCTCCGACAGTCCCGCTGCGATAAGTTCCAGTAGTATTTTTCGCTCTCTTGATATTGATTGTAAAATACCCAAAGGATTGTTACTGCAATCATCAAAGCCAGATTTGATGAAAAATGCGTGTATAGCAAGCAGTATGCCACCTATATATCATCGTACAACAATTTTCGATAAACCGTTTTCAACCCATATTTTTTATGCAAGAATAAAAACTTTCATCAGTCAATCGGAGGAATCAATCAGATTAATATATTGTCACTGCAGCGCTGTAGTATCAGCAGAAATCATGATGAGTAAGCAGTGGATGTTGCTCGTTCCTCCTAGCTGTTCATATTCCCAAAATAAGTCAGGAATTGTTGCACAGCTGATACTTCTCGAGAGGTTAAAACTGTAATGTATTGAAAGGTGACTTACCTTATCAGATCGACATGAAAGTGAGTAGGACGGAACGGTCAAACGATTTTACATTCAACACTTAGATAAAAGTGAGACTTATATCTGTGGAGCGATCGTGAAGTTTTTTACGTTTTTACAAATTTGCTTCCGGAAGTAATTGATGCAATTACAAATTTAGTCGTAAAATCTTTTCACCCAATGCAATTAAAAAGACCTCTATAGCAAAACTAGGCGTAATTTAAAAGTAAATTGTGATGATGCGTAGTGAATTATTGAGCAGAGCCTAAGCGCACACTGTGTAGGATGAAATATAGCAGAACATGCGTTAGACTCTTGACTCATTGAGCATGGAGTTTTATGTCATCTTGTGAACAAAATGCACGAGTAGAAAGGAGACCTGATCAAGAGATCAGTAGAGCGGGTGCAGCAATTGAGAACATTAATCGGATCCATCGTTTACTCTGGCTAGACGCTTGGTAGATGAGGTAGCGTCAATTAACACATAGGGAATATACTATCTGCACGTTATTTTGGTCTTCATCTGGTTAAAAAAGCTATGCTTTTCTTAGAAACAACAAAGACTTACCACTTAATCTCTCCAAGCCTTGAACGTTTACTTCGATCCTCTATCAGCAACTCACCGCATTTCATCTTCGCAAGAAGACATGAATTATGTCCCAGGATCTGAAGAATGGCTACAAAGTGTTTGGCGGGGGCACATAACTTAACCTCACAACAAGAACAATTGCCGAAGGTTTCAAAATTCTGCGATTGAATTAAAGTGAAAGTATGAGTGTGTCACATGGATTTCCAATCACTGGAGAGAGGCCACTTTATCGTGTGGTTGAGCATTGTGCTGCGCGCAACGTGTTGAATTTGACTTCCACTTGAAACAAACACTGCGAAATTGCTTAGACAAGTAAAATGGATGTTCTGATCCTCTATTACTCACTACATCAATTATTTTCTCTAGACTGCGAAAAATCCTTGGACCTTGCGATTTACTATCACGACGACGCTTGATTCCAAGAAATAGGAAGCAAATATCGACTACATGAGTGAGTAATTCTCTTCAATGTTGCTATCACAATGCTACAGTGACCTTACGCACTGTTTTTGGTACTACACGAGAAGCACTTTCTTGGCGTGGTTTGGTCTCTTGACGATGTAGCATTTCTGGTGTCTCTAGCTCATTAATAGTCGCGTTATCTGCCTTAAGGACACTTTGCTGAGGTGCTTGAATACTCGTTTGGGGGGTTGCTGTCACCCACTCGTTTAAATGTACTCGCACTTGCATTACTTTTCTCCGTCTCTTTTCTGGAATCAAACCCATGTGCTGGCGCACGACAAGGTCTTTCTGTTTGTGCAAAGGAGTGCAAGTCGCCGCACTTTCCAGCATCGAAATGACTAATTTGTTTGAAGATGACTCTCGTCGAGAGCAACCCAAAGTCTTGCGAATAAGATGCTCTGCATTTTCATGCAAACCCAATCGACGCTTATCACCTCGGAAGCCTCTTGCGTTTTCATTGTCATCATACTGTAGTGCCAACATATATTCTTGAATAGCTTGATTAAACTCACCTTCAGAATTGTAACAGCCAGCTCTATCGTACCATCTTTACTGTTAGTATCAATCGTGAAAGTAAAAAATGACATGCTTACCGTGCGTAACGCGCCATGACATGGTCAGGATTAAGTTCAAGGACGCGAGAGAAGTCACTATGGGCATCATCTACTTTACCGCACTTAAAAAGCGCCATCCCGCGACTAAATCTTCCATGAACGTCGTCTGGTCGGCAATGCAAAATTTCTGTAAAGTCCTTAACAGCTTGACCCCACAGCTTGGCTTTCATACACGCATGGCCCCGCACGGCAAGCGTATGCAGACAGGACGGATTAGTTAGAAGCACTTCTTGACATTTGCGAATCAATTGGTATATGTCGCGGAGAGCCAGGTCTTGAGTGTCTAACGAGGTTGATGGATTGGACATGTTTCTTATGGTAACTATGAACCTGACGACTTAAAAAAAGAATTCGAACAATGTGCGACTGTCATCCATGATGTAGCCTAGAATAGCAGGCGGGCAGGTCAGATCTTGTGGCGTACCCCCCTATCAATCCTTCCAAGAATCCAACAGGTTAGTTATAGAACATTGTAGAGGTACGTGGCGGGTGTGCGTTCTGAGCCATTCATTCAAGTATTTGATCACGAAGATGTTGCAACGCCCAACCTCTGTATTAGGAAGGCATAAAGTTCATCACTTAAATGATAGCGTGTTACACAACGTTCATGCCAGATGAACAGGTGAATATCCAGCACCATCGAGAAGTTCATTGCAGGTCGTATAGTAATAAAACATTTGATATATTATTGGCGGTCTTTGAATGAAGAGACCTTTCTTTCGAGCAACGATCGTTTCCTTCTAAGTGTTGTACGTATGTCTAATTCTTAACAGCGACAATTGTCGTAAGAAACGTCGACTAAATCCAGCTCAGCTGACAGCTGGAGAGTCGAGTCATTACCGTTACTACAGGGAAAGCAATCAGGTATGCTCCATACACGAGCTGATTTTTATTTGTACGCTAAAACACTAGATTTTATGCCCACACTTTGTGATACACATGATTACAATATAATTTTTGGGAGTTAGATTCTAGATGTCTTCCGAACTTAGAGTTGATAACATTAAAGCCCAGAACGTGGCATAGGCGTTCTAACTAATGCTTGTATTTTACATAATGCTTGTATTTTACGAGACAGTCTTGTAAACTCGATGAAAGAGTTCTTTTCAGCCATAAATTCATAATATTCCTACTGGGTGATATTATGGCATCATCAAATTAAAAAGACATAATTTCACTAGCAAGTTATCTCACTTCAAAAATGGTGACTCTCATGTCAAAAGCCAGTTCTTGGGGTGGACAATTCGCTGATGAAGTGGGTTGCAAGTATAAGCTACCTTCACCTCTTTCAATGGTGAAAGTCTTCCAGCGTAATACTGCATATGAGTTAGAAATTAGCTTCGGGGCCATCTGGTATCGCACGCACACGCACGCCACAATTTGCACGCCGTTTAGCAGATCTTTCTGACCACAGCTATGGTCGATGTATGTTCGAAATGTACGCTCTTTTTTAATCGCAAAGTTGTAAGGCTGTCGTTCAATCAGCAATCAAAATACTATCATTTTAGAAAGGTTATCAATATAAAAAATTACTTTCACATGACGCTAATCAAATCTGAGTTAGTATCATTAACCGGTAATTATGTTGTACAGGTAAAATTAAAAAAATATGTCCCATCGCCGGCACCGACTCCCTCCGAGTCAGTTCAATGTTCGAGCAGGCTGTCCTCAAACTTATACTGTACAGGCAAGCAACCTCTTGGTCGATATGCGCTTTTGTCGGTTCGTTGTTCGACTTCACCATTCTGCAATCTGCTTGCTGGTACGAACTCGACGACCTGCCTTCTCTTCATAAGAGATGCTCGACCTCTTTTCAAGCAACATGGTCAAGGCGGCGCTGCCTTCGAAATTCGCACTAGCTGCATATCTGTACGCGACGACGACTTCTACCGCCTTAGCTGGTGCACCTGGTGTCACACTGAACTTCATTAATCAATGTAGTTACCCAATTGAGCTCTACCATAGCCAAAAAGGCTCATCTGTCGACAAGGTGGGTGACATTGCCATTGGAGCATCTCTCATGCATGTCATCACTGGGCAATCGCACATGTTTCGCCACTCACTCAGCACATCAGCAACATTAGTAGAGCTTTCCGTCGACTCTGTCGTCTGGTACGACTTAAGCATCATTCCACCCATGCCAAACTACTGCTCAAGTTACCTTGAATGCAAACTCGGAGGCAAGACAGGTTTCAATGTTGCCATTTCGATTGACCCAACGTCAAATTTGGACTTACCACATTGTTCCTGTGTTAAATGTGCGAGCGATAACAATGAAACTTGTGCCGATGCTTACCATTTTCCAACGGATAACAAGAAAATGCGCGACTGTCCGTTGGGTACAGCATTCGATGTAACCTTTTGTTATGGTGGTAATGATCTACTCAATACATCTCAAATTGGACAATACTTGCCAGACCAGAACGATATTGTGCAAAGCGAGGCAGACCAAAATGAAGTAGAGCAAAACGACAACGAGGTGGAGCAGAACGAGGTTGAGCAACAGGAGCCATCAACCCCGGACCCGACTTCGACTCCCTCTTTAGACGAACGCACTGAAACACCCGGTGGTCTTGGTATTGTCAAGACGACATACACATACGCTGGAGTTTACGCTGGTAATTATCCTGGAACGTACAATCGTGTGACCAATCTGAACCAATGTTCGAAAGAACCGGTGACTCTGCATAGTCCCGTTGGTCCCATGTCCGAACCTGTCACAATGGTCTTCCGTGGTCCCATGGAAATTTTCAATATTGCTGTATTCACTAGCGAAGGAGGGAACAGCTCATGGAATCGTGCTTCATACTACGCACGAGAGACAGGTGAAGTCGACAATATGACGTTCATGAACAACAAAAATGTTGACTATTCGGGCAATGGACAACATGGTCCACAAGGTTATGCCACAGCTGACGGAAAGGATAAAGCCGACCAGCCAACGGTCTTTGCAGGTAAATTAGACGATGCCTCCGATCCGACCAAAATAGGTGGTGGTCCAGGTATTTCCACGGGTACGGAGATCAATATTTTGACTGGCCAAAAGTGCAATGGTCAATGTCTTGGTTTTGCGGGCGACAATGACTACCAAGGTTGGGGTGGTGGCCGAAAGATTTTTGTGACAAAAGTCATGATGCCAAAGGGTGCGATTCCAGACCGACCAGCGATTTGGATCTTAAATGCTCAGGTAGTGCACTCGAACCAATATGGTTGCAATTGTCGTGGCATGGGGCCCGTTGCTGGCTGTGCTGAACTTGATGTTTCTGAGGTGATCGAGACCAACTTGCAAGGCGACATGGTATCGACTCATTACTATCACTTTGATGGTAAATATCCGAATCCTAAAGGTGACAACTTCGCGCCACGTCGGTACGATACGCCCACAGTATACGTGACAATCATTGACGACTCGAAAGACGGAGTTGTTAAAATCGTCGAGCTTGACAGCTTCGACTTTACTCTTACTAATTTGGATTCGTTTTATGATCAGCTGATGACCTGTTAAGCAATCACTGTGACGGTGTCCAATTCAAATTTTGAACGAGGCATGCAAATGTCACGGGGCAAGCAGGCCTCGACGTGTAGCTACAGTGTCAGTAGTCAGGTACTTCGTCTTTTTCGAATAAACGAATCATTTTGATAGTTATCAGGAATCTTTCAATGAGCTTTATACTATTTCGTAATGTAAAAGGTTAAGAGGAGAATTATTCGGTAAGTACTCGGCCAACTCCTTCACTCCATTTATAAAATGCCTTTGATCAAAGTAGATCCAAGAGCAATCGTAAATAAGCTTTGCTTCAAACGCAATCGATAAATAGGAAGCTCATTACAATATGAGCGAGCTCGGGGATTAGCAAGATCATCTCATGGACAAAATCTAGCGCTCCTTACTGGGAATATGCAGATGGAGAAGTAGAATTTCATAGTAGTGCCAAGGGCCAATATATAATGTCAACAAACTATCTGGGCAAAAGGGATGAAGTTGTTAAAACTAATTCAGATTCAGTTTATTGATCGGAACACGAGCACTTTGGAACCGGCTGATCTGATCAATACTTCGATATGATTTAATGTATTGTAAGACAAAAAGTTTCGGCAAAGAGAAAATAACGCTGTCGCGGTGCGAGTTATCAAAATCTGCAGCGAGGATAAGGGATTATGGTTGAGAATTTGATAGCTATACAGGCTCCGAGACATCGTAAGTCTTGCCGCGATTTCTGGTTTAATCATTGATAATGTAAGTAGCTGCACCTCATCTTAACCCTTAGAATGGCTAATACGAAAGCGAACCTGCGTCCAAATTGATCAAACACGCTTTAGCACATCAGCATAATTCTGAATTAGCTGGAAGCTAGTAAACGGGACTTAATGAAAAGGCGACACTGTCAGACGTTTGTAATGCTCCATTACACATGACACCTCAACTTTCCAACGTGGCAACATGTCGATTACTTTTGATGAATGATAATCAAGTAGAAGACATCTGTTATAACCTAGGTATCTATTGAATAATCGACAGTCAGCTTGAAGTATAGACTTTGTAAATCTATTAGACATTGCTGAAACGGACCTCGACTTACAATTCTTCCAAGTGATACGTGACTTTCAACATTGTTGTTTCCATCTCATTTATTCAAGAATTGTATAGATTTATATCGTAGTAAGTCTTGTCGTTAAAGTGATTGCATCATACTGCAAACATAAAAATCCTAAAGAAGATATTTCACCAAGATACGCAGTTTTACACTCAAATATTCTCGGCGCATCTTAAGTGCGCGATACCGCTTCACTACGGCGTATTGCCCGTAAACTAACCATATAAGAAAATGTCCTGAGAGTGGAAATGCAGTGGTCCTAAGTAAAACCAGATATGAATCATATACAACTGGTCTCACAAAAACGTTTGCTCCAATTCCTTACTATCAAGGCATACGGGTGCTCCGTGGCAACAAGGATTCGATAGAAATAATCCACTCTTATGTTTTTTTACTCATGATAACTTCAGCGGGACAAAGTATATCCAAAGTGTCTAGAGATCCTACCGTTTGATCCTTTTATAGGCAGACGCCTTCCTATTTCTTGTCTTACTTCATCAGCACTATCATCTTCCGACGTCGGACTTGCCGGGGGTGTCAGCTTTTTGACAGCTTTTTTATTCAAAACAGTCATTTTCAGAGGCGACACTTCCTTTCCGACACTATTATCCATATGCGTTCCGATCGGTTGTGGATTATGATCAACAGTTTCACCAAAAGAGGCAAATGGGGCCTTAAACAGTTGCAAGAATTCTTCGCGCGTAGTTACTTCATCCCCACTATGCCGCGTACAAAGTTTGTTGGGCTCGTTATGAAATTCGACATCAACACACAATTTCTACCACCAGAATTTGAAACGAATGTTACTGGTGATAAAAACTTTGGCTTGTATGAAAGAAATGAGACTCACCGGATTACTGAAGCACTTGCGCTTTGTGAGTGCATTTCCCCGATCCACAATGGATTGCTTAATACTGTCTGCTTCTTCCTCAGATTCGACGGGTATTGCTCTTGCACCAGGAACTATTTGACCTCTTAATTTTCGAACCCTTTCATCAATAACTTCTTTTGATGATCCAGTAACAAAAGTGACACAGGTAAGTTCATTAAGAGTGTCCGGTATGATCATTACAGGAGCCAAGAACAGTTGGCTAGAAGGTGCTAACCAATTTTCGGTTTCTCGCTTGTATGATTGCTTGGATACACCTTCTACGCGCTGTTGGAGTTCAAATCTTTCCTCCATCGATTTAAGATGTAGTTCAATATTCTCGAGTTGAAGCGAGTGTTTTTGCTTTTCAGCCTCAAGTTTGTCATGAGATGCCTTGAGTTGCTCTAACGCAATGGCAAGCTCTCGCTCAAGCCGCGGTATGTCATCGGCTATTCTAATTTGTGCCTCGGCTAATTGCTTCTCAAGTCGAGATTTGCTTTCCTCAGCAGCTTTGAGCCGTTCTTGCGAGACTGCGAGCTCAACCATGAGTTCAGGTGTTCTAACACGAGCCTCCATAAGCTCCCACTCCACCTTTTGTCCACTCTTCTTGATCATTCTCAGCTGTTCGGTCAGCGCAATGATTGTCATCTTGGCTTCACTAAGCTGCTCTTCTAGTTCCTTCACAAAGTCGTCATTATCTGAATATCGCTCATTATCGTCCGAATACCGTTCGCCATCATCCGAGTACCGCTCGTCATCGTTCAAATACCCCTCGCGGTCTTCCGAATATCGCTCGTCCTGCTCGGCATCGTGCGCTTCTACCACCCTGGTCATTATTGTCTAGTTCAGCACACATATGGAAAATGAGCAAAGCTTGGAGGAACGAACCCTTTACGCCAATTTGGGTCGTCGATCGTTCCTTGTAACTCAATAAGATTAAACCCAATTTTGTCTTGACGACAGTGCTTGAAAAAGGTTAACGCAAGTACAAAGCGTCATTCAACTGCACGAAAGTGTCAATGGACGAGAAAAAATGTCTGGTAAAGCTTGAGTGAATCTCTCACCATATGGATAAGCTCGACAGCTTGTTCTACTTCGTATGCTCCTAAAAGGATCAATACCTTTTATAATCGCGTCAAAATAACGCTGTCCCTCTAGCCCGTTTGCCCATAGTCACTACAGAGATCTCTCTACATTTCTGTGTAAACTCAAACAAAGTCTCTTTTCGCTTTGAACAATTTTCTTTGCTTCTCGTCTTGACTAAACATCGAAATTGACGAACGTCTTGTAAAACACGACGTTGATGAAGTAAATCTGCTGCAGAAAAATCTGAAATGTTGAAAACATATCATCGTTTATCGTCTAATATCCCACTTGAGATTCAAAAGCACCGCTCATTGCTTGGTTGGTGTACCTGACTGAGGGCATATTATACTAATTTACTTAAATCGCTTGAGCCACTTTCTTAATTTTTTTTTCGTATTGTAACATTTAGGATCTAAGTGCAGAATGCCTTTTGTCTTTGCAATTGTATGTGAAGCTTTTGAAATAAACAAAATTTAGCATTAGCTAATTTGATGAAAAGAAAGTGAAGTCAATTTTACGAAGAGCGGGCTTGGTGACACTGCGTCTTGTCTTATTGTAATCTATGAGCGAGATATGGATACACTGCGAGAAGATTCATGTTCACATCGCTTAATTGTTATGCTCCTTGTAACTCGTGCCCATCAGTCCGTGCTCGCGAGCAAAGTGCAAGGGAAAATATTTCAGGCGATACTCGTTCAACGTCAATTTTCATGTAAATCAGTGTAAAGTCTCTATTTAACTTTAAGATAGGATTAAATCATGCTAAATCCATCGCAAAGCAAAGGCACGCTTGCTGGCGCCGAAAGTGGAGCTGTTATCTTGCTTCTCAGTCTATCATTATTTACTAGAACAGCTAGACTTACTTTTTTGTGGAGACAGAAGCAACAACTCAGCCGCATGCTGTAATGGAGAAGCTCGAAATACAGAAGCCAACGTGGTTATTTGAGCGTTTTGCTAGCATTCTGCAAATATGTGTCTTTTTATAATGTTTTTGTAGGTTGACCTTATCATAAACTTAACAGACATTACAAGACACTAATTATATAGACCTATTTATATACCAAGTAGTTACATGGCAAGTCATTGTCCCTTGGTTGGAAGATGACTCAGACTTTGTTGCGACTCCATTTAGCAAGAATCGAAGGAGGCAACTATATTGTAGCATTATGTCACGGTAGCGAGTCCGTGGCTTCTTCCATACAACGGATGTTACTTGCTTGCAAATCTAGCCAGTTTAATCCAGTTCGATGTCAAATCTTATCCTTGATATGCTTACTTAGTCACATACGAAAAATCTTCTAAAGAAAGTGTGGTTCACAACAACAAAAATTATTTCCGGCGAGTCAGAATTTTAGGGATCTTGACTAAGTAAATCCGAATTTCTGAAACGTGTCTGAAAGTATGTATGACTGTTGCAGGATCCAAAAGATTTACAACCTCATTGCATATTTTTTTTGTTTTGAAAGGGATGAGTCATTAATTGACGCTCTCACCTGGATGCGCTGTATTGATGAAGTTTGTATTTAAAAATTACGCTAGTCATCCGACGGCAAAATTTCGACTATTTGAGTGTAAAGTATGCAATGATTTACATTTATAGTTCCGCAAATGAGATTGTATCTGCAAAATGGGAAGTCACTATCAGCTGACACATAAATGTATCGTGACCTTTTTACTAAAGCTTACGCAAACAGCAGGAAAACTCACTTCACATGCAAGGAACGTTCGCAATTATCTTACCCAAATATTCTTCATAGAAAAAATGACAGTCTTCTTGTGATTAGTGCAATATTAATTGGAAAGGCCCGCATTGTTTCGTCCAATACTTCAAATTTGGATGCGGTTTACGCCACGGAAAACATTCTTTGTGGCGAGTAAATAATTAAACTTACGGACGTAGACCATGTAACAAACAATGAAGTTCCTACACCCGCACCCTTTATCCTACCGTCGTTCTTCTTGATACTGCAGTTGTGGATATTGTCTGTTACGCTTTAAAACGTTCTTTAGTGCAGTCGTGACGTATGTCCAGTGCTGTCTCATACTCTTTTTCCTTCTGCTGTCATGCACGACCAAACTGTTCGTTTCATAGCTTGGATTATGTCCAGAACTAAGCGGTTGAATCCCTGAAACTACCGCTGTGGCTAATTCCTTCCAGAAAATTTTATGTTTCACCGCCGATGCCACTGCAGGCACAATCAATGCACGGCTTCTTTCTTCCTTTTCAACTTCAGATACCATGGCCATTGCTATCGACACGTGATTATGCCAACGATCAAGTGCAGGTAAGTCTGACATATATAGTTGTACGCTCGTCGCTGTCACTCCATCTCGAAATTTTAACTGGCGACAGTCCGTTCCAACGTCTAGCGCCATTACGCGCATACAAACGAGTAGGCTATTAGCTGAAGCATCTTCATATCGATAGAGCCACAAGATATTACGACAAAAAACAGCATAGACTCTAGTCCAGCAGTCTGGAAGTGCCACTGCATCTCGTTGCCAATACGCCCAATCACTAAGCGGTTTCTGCGATTGACTCACTATTTGAAGCGCATCTGACTCAGCATCAGATTCTTGACTCAGGTCTTCATCTTCTTCCTCCATTGAATCGCTACCGTTAGTCATCCATGTCGATCGAAGTGACTCGCTTCGTACACAATTTTGAGGTGATTTCGTTAATTTCGTGCTATTGTTGCTGTTGCCATGTGATCTCCTTTTACTGCGGTTTAATGGCGTGGCCACATGACGGCGACTGAGTGTAGGGAAACTCATGACCCGATCACTAACTGAACCAATCGGAGAATGGACAGACTGGCGAGAAGAAACGAGGGAGAAGCGGGTGGGACAGCCCAAAGGGCCGGAGCGCCTGGCTGCAGTGATAATCGGATCAGCCAACGGTGCCATGTCCACTACAATAGTGTGTGATGATTGGTTCGTTGAATAGAATGTTGTTTGACAGCTCGAAACTAGCTTAACAAACGAAAATTTTGACAATTTGTATATAACGAGCAAGTATAATTATTGAATATTTGCACAAAACAATAAGTTATTGTGTCTTACTTGTGGTCGTAAAGATCACGATATTCAGGTTCTAGGTATTGTTGGCTGCTTAAGTTATTCGCAAAGGTGAACTTAGTCTCTACATACGTTGATTACGGACGTCAAAGTAGTCTTTTACCTGCTGTCCAGGCGCATCAACAATTCTATCTGACTATATAATAAAAACCTGAAATCAACGATAGACAATATGTTTACACCCATGGTCTGTTCGACGAGAGCTCTACAAACGTGGAAAGATAATATCTTTCACTACTTAATGCGAAATACGGTCATTCTCGACTTTGTATATTCTTCTATAACTTACGATAGTGCTTACATGCACGTTTGTCAAATCTTATCGGCCTAGAATGCACCTTAAGTGGACATCAAGGAACTTTGTCCATAAAAAATTCACGCACGACTCTGCAGCAGCAATACGCAAAAGGAAGAAGACTATGTTAAGCTAGCAGGCAAGCTGACCATATTCAAGCACGTTAAGGAAGAGGCAGGGTGTGAGTGGATAGGGGCCTGATGCCTAGATCAAAAGTTCTCTACTTCGTAAAGAATAAAGCTTAAGAACCCAGTCCGGTGTGTTAATTTTTTTAGTTTATTATTGTTCGCGCATTGTTCCTACAACATCTGCAGAATCTGTAGGCTTTTTTAAAAGCCGCAACATCATACCGTAAACGCCCGTTCATCACTGAATGATAGCGTGGGTGTCAAACCGCTACGAATGGTACTACTTCAAGCTCTGCATACTGTCAGCATCTTCTACGCATACTGACGTCAGACGTGAGACGCAGACAATGCACGAATTACATGTCGACCAGATTCAATATGAGCGCTTGAAATTATAAAAGATTTCTTGAGAAAAAAAGGGTTGCCAACATGCCTCTGTGTACGAAACAAAGACGCGAAGCAATAGTGTCACATAGATATTCGTACAGGAGTGTTCTGCTTTAGAAATTCTTCGTATGCGAAAAGCGCTGTACTGGCCACGAACACGCATCGATATTTGCACTTGGTTAGGACTTCGAGATCTCGAGCACCAAGCGACAACCTGCTCATCTCATTCAAAAATTACAAAAGTATTACGACTGTACGGAATCAATGAGCTCAAAGGTGCTAAAGTTTTAATAACAATGTAGTATAATCGAATGTAATAGTGCATATATGTTTTCATATTAGCTTAGCATTGGATGAGATGAGAAGATCTATGTCACTCTCGAAATTAAGTCAAAACAATTGAGTACAAATTGCATGACAAGCTTTGTGCATCAGAATTGTCGTAAACCTTGCACAGAGGAAACTCTGATTAACTAACGCATGAGAGGTGGGTTCATGCAGAAATTCCGTAAATTTGTTCTCCACGAGACACAAACAGACCATTTTCTTGCCAACTAATCACCCTGTGGTACTAAGACTCAACGATCCCCGAGAGGAATTTGTTGACTACCCATGCGTGGGAGTCCAACCCGTCAAACTTCTCAGCCAAAGCGAACGAAGAACATGAGGTGCAAATCCCCACAGATAAATCACATGCGAATACCTCGTAGCTGCGATGGATATTTCGACCTCCTTCTAAGCATGGGGCTCTTAGATATTTCACTGAGGCTGCCGTAGCTCTTCGCTTAATGAAGCTAAAGTAAGGTCACCGACCTTACCTCCGTACTAGAACCAGTATAGGTGTAGTGGATCGCAACCCGCTAGCTCCAAGAGTACTCACATCCTTAACTCAAGGCAGTAAACTCTTTCGCTCAAAATATAAACTACATTAATTGTTTTTTGTGGTAGAGCCGCCTATAACTAACCCTAGGCAATCCCGCCACATAGTGGCTTTTATTTAAGGTATCGCCACACCATCTTGTGCGACCCACACCTTCATACTAAGGTACGTGGAACCCCAGTACATATTTCACTACCAGCACTTGTGGCACGGACATCGAACTTCACATCAAATGCGACATCCACCGCCTGTTAAGCAGTAGGTCAGACACAAACGATCTTGATATGAGCCGCACCTGTTCTGATTTATACATCAAGATTGTGATAATTTTTGCCTCCGGTAGAGGGTCTGATGCCGTTGCGGCGACAAGAGTGATTTACTTCTGCACATAGTCTACTAGTCGCCTTTCTTGATGGCTAAACAAAGAACTTCTGATGTATTCGATATGCCTGGTTACACGGTTTGACCACCCGCCCATCTGTCGTTTCAGCTATGCCCGCTTTCATGCGCGATCTTGCTTGACTACAACAAGCGCGACGCACTGCTTCTATGGATAGTCTATCTCCGCTCATTCTTTTGAAATCCTGGATGCTCAAATCAGCGTCCTTACAGTGGATGTCACCTGCGCTGTCATCGGACTTGGTTGAGGCGTTGCCGGAGGTACATAGCCGGTAGACACCTCCAGGTGGGCAATCACCGCATTTGGCCATTAGACCGCTAGACCCTTGCTCCCTTCGAGACCAACAATAAACATAAACTTTCTCAGCTTGTCTAGTGGTCTCCGGGACAATCAATCAAACAGCTTCTACAGCTCCTTCGCGACCTGGTCGTAAAGAGCTACCAGTGGCAACGGGGCTGCTGTGCACCTTGCACAGAAAAGCTTCGACTCTAAAATCTGCTATTGAGCGCACAAATGTTAAACATTTGCGTTCTATCCATGAGCAGTATCATCTTAAGATTTTTGTAAGTTAAATGTTATCCATTCTCATATCAAATGTATGCATTGTAATAATCACCGATAACTTTGTGATCTGAATTTTGTTATGTGGAGATTGTGAATGACTGAATTCAGTCTTAAAGGGATAAAGTATGAGAAGAGGGCTTCTAGCCCAAGATTGTGGGTTATGGATAACAACGTCCCGAGCTTTGTGAAACCATAGTAAGTCCTGCTAGACCCAGGATCAACGTATTACTTTCTTATACAGTACGCGATGGCATGAAATCTGCCAAATATATAAACTATTTTTGTTCGTCTCGAGACGAGTGTATTGGTAAATGTAGAGGTGCGACGTGTAGAGTCATGAAAGATGGCAACTACGGATACGATATCCGTGCGTCTTGAGAAGAAGGCTTTGATATAATGATCGCAGGTATGTTAGAAATTCTAGTGAGATTCAGAGGCTTTGATAACGTGAAACGTTGTCTAATCCTAGACCTAAATTCGGAATTCAATCATATCCTAGGTACGGCGTGTCTCGAACTCCACGAGCCATGGGTCGACCGAAAGACGAAGGCGTTTGGTGTCATACACTTTCTTTCTGATGAAGCTATTTGAGTTAAAACTCACTTTTATCAGCACTAGATGCGCTTTTAGCGCAGATACGAAGCAGCAATATCTTCCTTGCGGGCCATTCAATGGTGCAAAAATGTTAGAGCAATTGGCTTGCTAGGCACTTCAATCAGAATTTGAAGATAGAAGTGGTGGCTAGCTGCGGTCGCTAGATGAGACAGAAGAGGGAGATTGTATATCGCGGTCACCAGTGTATATCTGCTGAGAGCGGAAGACTGTATGTCGTGGTCCTCAGAGTTTAATATCTAGTAAGACGGTAAGTAGTAGCTGTGAGTTGTCTCCTGTGTCAGGCCCGACGGGCAGTGGAAGCGACTTGGTGTCGCAGCCTCCCCTTTCAGAGTCGGTGGAGTTGAAGTTCGACTGCAAGTCGCAAGAACAAGACTAGGCTATACACTATAGAATTATCACTGTTCGTATTTGTCGCGATATGGCGATATTGCTTTGTCACCATGACCGTGTGTTGACCCACTGTGCGAACATTATAACTTCAGGGGTAAGTGGCGGCACGAGTTTATATAGAACAACAGAGATGATACCTCCAGATATGCCTAAAGATGACAAAGTGATGAAGTCACCAAAACGGTACAGTTGGTACCGAAGGAGGAAACGAGCTCATCATTCGTCATGGATAAATATGTCATTGAGCAGACAGGCAGAGCATTGGGTGCAATGCGTAGGGCAGCTATCTTCGAGAGTCGTACGCATCCATCACCAAAGATGTATCGCAACGTGGAAACAAGAGACTCACCACGCATGGTACCCCAGATTGGGGAGCCAAAGATTGCGTCACATGGTAATAGCCTTCTGAACGGGGTAGTAGGACGTAATCAACGCTTTTGGCCACGCAAAGTACGAAGAGAGTTCGGTAAGGCATAGTGAAATTATCTGCTCACGCCAAATCCTATGTCAGAGAGGTCAACGACAGTTGGGTAATTGTATGCTTATAGTAAGCTAAAGGGAGCTCCATCCCAGCGCGAAGTCCCATTACTGGAAAGGATGCGCTTCAGAACAGCATGGCCTAATAAATTGGCTACTACGTAGCGATATCATCAAGTGCTGATTCTAGACAGCGCTACCGCCTTCAAAGTTGTTAGCACTCTGAGCGAAAACTTCTGGGAGTGGCTCATTATACCACAGAAGATGCTTAGTATACTAGCCATTTTAACTTACCAAATGGTGCATCGAATCAGGCCACAACATTTGCACAAGCAACGTAAAATGTCAGGTTGCGTCGAACTTCAGTATTCACACGAGCTTCAAATTATATTTTTGACAAAAATTCGAGCAGAGCACGAAGAGTCGGATGCGGAGAGCCGTACATTAGCCTTGAGAGTGGAACTTTGATGTATGTGCATGAAAATAGTTTACCAATGTCGACAACCTTGACTTTTACGCCGAGGAGATTTCTTTTATGTTGCGTGTGAGCAGCAAAGACAC